TTCCACGGAGCACAGACACCTTTTGAATCCATCCCCTTCCATCGGCTGCACCCCTCTAATCTCTCCAGAACCCATCAAAGGAAGCAAAGCCACAACACGGGCAGATAGAGACCCACAGTGGTTACGAATGCAGTTAGATTTCGCATGTCACAACACCTGGGAGAGCACACAAAGAAAAATCACTTTCAAAATGAGGATACTGATTCATACTTAATCAGTGAGTGAGTGGTTTTGTTTTTTTGTTCTGTTTCTGTCTTTTGTAGCAAAAAATTAGAGAACTTCATACAGTTGATTGGGTTTTTAAGTTTTAGTGCCTTTGACAAGTCACCAGCGCCCTGATTCTAATTTGTTCAGCTCTTTCTCAGCCTTGTACCATGATACGGCTCTCGGTAGGACCTAGGTAAGAATTTATGGACTGAAAGAGTGGATGGATGAACGGATAAACAGGATGAGGGTTAAACCTACAATGGAATGTTACTTGGTCTTAAAGGGGCAGGGGATTCTGACACCTGCTACAACACGGATGAGCTGTGAGGACAGCTGTGTTGGGTGAAATCAGCCAGTGAGGGAATGACAAACAGGGCGATTCTGCTAATGCAGTTTCTAATTCCCTGGTTTGGAAAGTGGGAGGGCAATTTCCAGGGACTGGGAGGGGTGGGGAATGGGAAGCTCTTGAAAAATTCTTGCTTCAGCCTTTTCCACTTTTCCCATTCTGACTTGGTCAGCCTGGAGTCAGGCACAGTAACCTTTTCCCAAACTCTGGAAGCTCTGGTTACTGCAACACTGGTCAAGGGTGGCGGGAGCTGAGAGCCATAGGGACAGATGACTTCCAACTGCCCATCTGGTTTAAGCACAGACCACCCTTGGGAACAGCCCCAGGGGTGACAATCACCACATCATATTCTCCAGCACAAGCATCAGGTCTACCTGGAAGTATCACCATTTTGGGACAGATGAGCCATTTTTAAAGAAAAAAATTTTTGAACTTCCAGAAACGACTCATATTCTTTCCATGCTGCTGCTTTGGTCAGAGCTCCACCTCTGTCTCTGCTGGACGCAGGAATTCCCAAGCCCTTCTGATTCTCTGTACCAGGTATCTGACTGAGAACAGCTTTCATTGGCTGCTGTTGGGGACAAAAGCAAAGCCTGGGGACTTTTGCAAAGAAGCTGCACTTGTGACTTTGAGGCTCTTTCCTGCAATGACCTGTACAAATGAGTTGGGCAGATGTCTCTGGACGGTGTCATCCTAATGCCTTTTTATTTCTTTGTATTTATGCCAGTAAAAATGCTGACCTGCACATTTAGGGTGAAATGTTTACTTTTGAATTCAAGGATCAAAAATAGCTTCATAAAGTCTGCCTCCAGACTTCTCTCTGCCCCTCCTCATTTTTCTCTAACTTCGGGGCACTTGGAGGCTGTGGTCACAGAGACAGAGAAAGAGAAGGCAGCTGAGTCATAAACTCTTCCAAGGTCTATTTCAACTCTAATGTTCTGTCACTCTGCCCTTTCTAAACAAGGATCTCTGTGAAATTTTTAGCCTGGAATTCTTGAGCCCAGAAAGTAGTGTTCTTGAATTGGATCTTTATGCCTAAGAAATGTAAAAATAATTTTGGAGGTTTGTGAGTTCTGTAGGAAACTCCACCGAGTCTTTGGTGATTACGTAAGAATACATTCATGAAAGCATCTGGCATATAGTGGGGACTCAGTACACATCCCTTTCACTTTCCTGCCAGATTTTTTGTAGTGGAAAATTCTCTTGCTTTTCATCTTAGGAAGACATCTCTCCTCCTTCAGCCTTTGTCTCAAGTCCCACAGATGCTGCTAGGGTCAAAAGTAGAAGAATTATATGAGAGAGTTGGAATCTGGAACAGCACATTTCTGAGAAGGCCACTGCATTAGATTAATGGAACTAAAGCATGATTCCCATGAACACCATCAGGTGCCCCATAAATTTTGATTGACATTGAAGTACATAATGCAATAAACTTTTTTCCTTTAAATGTATGATGCATGGAGAAAACCTGGTGGAAAATAGTTTCCTGGCACAGCTTTTGAAGGGCAGCTGAAATGCAGTTAAAATGTCCTGTGCAGATTGGGGAACGGAGGGACCTCGGCATGAGAGACCCTCGTCCCCAACTCCGGAAGCCAGACACATGTGGTGTGGTAGCTCATGGAATCCTCACAGACCTTTATGAGTGAGGTGTTACTACTTCCCTTTTACAGATGGGGAATCTGAGGCTGGAGCACTTTGCTGTGGTAGTGAGGTAGGAGCCTGACCTTCAGGACCCATCCTGCTTTCCCGTGACCTCTATGCTTTGCTTAAGTACACAGCCATCAAAAGTCCTCATCTGTAAAATGGGACAATGGTGGTATCTCCCTGTGACAGAGACTCTTTCTTCTCTAGAATTGAAACAATGATTTTAGATGGGCAAAGGCCATCGCGGTGAAAAGTTGCATTTCTCACCTTCACTTGCAGCCAGGTGTGGTCTGTGACATTTTAGCAAACGAAATGAGAGCAAATAGAAAGAACGTCTTCTAAGTACCTGTCCTTAGGAGGCAGCCCACATGCCCATCACTGTTGTTGTTTTCCTCTCTTCTTCCTTCTTCTTTTTCTTCCTCTTTCTTTCCCCTACTGTTTTGTGCTGGCTGGAATGTAGTTATGATGGCTGGAACTGAAGCAGCCATTTTGGACCGAGCAGATGAGTCTCTGGTATGTGGAATGTCATAGAAATCCCAGATACTGGCCTTGAGATTGAGATATGTAAGAGAAATAAAGCTTTCTCTTCAGTCCCTGCAATTTTAGATCTTATTAACCCAAGTCAAATCCTGATACATTTGCTAATTGAAATGTTTTGAGGTTAAATGAGGTACATTTGTAAAATATTTATTAAGCCCCCAGTAAGTGCTATGTTTTATTGTTATTGTTTTATTATTGTTATTATTACTGTTACTACTATTATTATTATCTCAGCCCACCTAGGGTGGGCTGGGTGACTGATCTGGAATTCCGTCCTTTGGTTGTTTTATATCAAAACTATTTTTTTTTTATAGGCTGATTCTTACTAAGGTGAGGGTGAATGCCATGCCCATCCAAAGCTGAGAGAGAAAGGAGACATCATATTGCCTGTGGCCAAGGGGATGGGCTGTGCTGTTACCCTCTGGGTTGTGTTTGTACCCTAGATCTGACTCCTAGTAGCTGGTGGTGTTCTCACCACCCCAGGTGTGGACATACTGACTCTCTGTGCCCCTCCACAACCTGTGAGCATGAGCTCCAGTCCTAAATTAGCTGGGGAAGTATGGGCCACACCTGCTTCTGTTAGCTGCAGATGACTGCTTATAGCCAGGAAGGTCTGAGCAAGGGGCAGGAAAAGAAAGATAAGAAATAGAATGCTGATGTTGAATGAGTTTTACTCTGTGCTGGGCACTGTTCTGAAAGGATTTACCATGTGCTTTATTTAAGCCCAGAACATCTGTATTAGGTAGATACTTTACAGATGAGGAAACAGAGGCAGAGGGAGGCTGAGTGACTTTCCCAAGGAACACAGCACAGGTAGGCAGCCCAACTTAAGGGCTTTCCTCCTTGTCCTAAACAAAGGGGTTTTCCGATGTTTCCTTTTCCAGAAAGAACTGGTGGGAAGGGTGGCTTCTGTGTCAAAAGGCCACTGCCTCACTAATGTTTTCTGATTCCTTGGCTTATTAGGGGAAAGCCAGTCTGAGCTGGGAAAGCAGAAGATCCTCTGGAGTGGAAAAGAAGCTCAGAAGGGAATGGGAAACTGGGGTTCTTTATTTTCCCCAGGGGCAAGTTGCCTGACTTGGTACTGTCCCTAAGATCCCCACTGCAAAGGCAAGAGTTTATCCAGATAATGATAACTGAGTGCTCCCAGGGGAGTGCTCCCACTTCTTTGTCCCAAGGAAATGATGGATTTCCATGTACCTATTACCAGAAACACAAGAAGAGTTCTAGTTTCTGTCTTTTCCAGCACCCTTAGGTCCCCTTATTCCTCCAGCCCCTCTTCCCTGCCAGCATTCTCCCTGCCAGGGATTGTCTGGGAGGAAAATGGACTTGGAAATCTGTTTCAGAGACTTTTCTCCTTCTTTGGGCGAGCTTAGAATTTTCCAGTGATGGCTCGAAAAGAAAAAAAATCCGATGAGACCACATTAAAAAAAAAATTTTATTTATCTATTTGAGAAAGAGAGAGAGAGCATGGGTGGGGAGCGGGGCGGGGAGAAGCAGGCTCCCAACTGAGTAGGGAGCTCAATGTGGGGCTCAATCCCAGGACCCAGGATCATGACCTGAGTGAAGGCAGATGCTTAACTGACTAAGCCACCCAGGCGCCCCAAGATGAGACAACTTTCATGCTTAAAACCATCCAATGGCTTTCCACTGGAATTAGAACAAAATCTGAAATCGTTCCTTTGGTCCAAAGGGACTAAATGTTTTACCGCTTGATTACTGTTTCTGACTTGATTTCTTAACCCTTCTCTTGTTTGTTCCTTTCTGCTGCAGCTGTGCTGTGTGCCACAGGCCCTTTGTATCTGCAGTACCCTCTGTCTGGAATGCTCTCTTCATCATTCAGTCTCAACTTAAATGACCTCTTAGCTCTCCTGGCCAGCCTCCCCAATTAGTCATTGCTTCAGTAAGCAATGCTGCCCGTCCCCATTGATTTTTCTGAATACTTAGAATAATTTGTACTTATTTTGTTAGCTGATTTGCTTGTTTGTGTACTGTCTCTCTAACTAGAGTGATCTCCAGGAGAGGCAGGGCCCTCGCAGTATAGGGAGGGTAATGCTCATCTCCTAAAAAATACTACACGATTGGATGAGACAATGCTTCTGAAACTACTTGGCATACAGCCAGGGGTTCCCAAGTGACAGTGGGAATTGTCAGTGACATTGGAAGTGACAGTGTTCCCAAGTGACACTGGGTAATTATGCTCCAGAAATATGTTTGAGATCTAACCTTCCGTGCTTTGTTTTATTTTCCGTGTTTTATCTCGCAGACATAAAGACTGCCAAAAGATAGGGAAGGCGTTCACAACTGCGTTTCTTTCTAAGGACCCTTGCAGCAGCACGGAGCAGGACTACCAGCCCCTCCTGGAGCTGACCGCTCAAACCGTCCCTTGCAACAAGGTAACAGGAGCAGACTCTTGGTTTTTAAAACAGAGGATAAAAGCCAAAGGAAGGGGCCATAGGACCACATTTTGACCAGAACGAGGGAAGAGGAACATCTGGAGATTCGAATGTATGAGAGGTTGGCCGAGATGGAGTTTGTGGGGTTTTTGGGGGGCCAGGATCTCATCAGGATTTAGGATGTCTGGGGAAGGATGGTCAGAGAGAGAAATGGGAATGGGGAAAGAGGAGGGAGATGTGGCCAAAAATCAGGCAAAAACGAGCCTTCCTGAAACCCAACCCAACCAAACCCAAGCAAAAATGACCCAACCTTACATAATTGCCAACTCTCCCCTGACTCTGTTTCTGACTTGATTTCTTAACCCTTAACTCTGATGATGATGATGTTAATGACAACTCACAGTCACCCTGCAAAACAAACAGGTCAAGAATCAAGACCCCCATTTTACCAGTGAGAAAACCTAGGCTTGGTGAGGTCAGGGGTCAGTGAGGTCTCAAGTCTGAAGACCTCTAGAGTGACCAGCTGAAATGTTAATAGTGTAGGATTAGGAGCTGGAGTGGCCTGGGTTTTATACATTGATTGTTCCAGAGATTGTTCAAAGATGGGTACATCTTTCCTGAAGTCTGCATTTAAGATGAGAATTCAGTGTACACCCATCATCTTTGTGAAGCCCCCGAGCCAGCCCAATGTTACAGCTGCTCATCCCAGCGTGGAGAGCCGGGGACAGGAAAGAGCTCCTGCCTGAGCAGGGAGGGTCTGCTTGGTAAATGAGCCCCCGGTGTCAAGCATTGAGGCCACAGATGTGAGACTAAGCACTTTATTTGCAATTGTCTCATTGTATCTCCTCATGCCCCTGAGTTCCTTATGTTTATTACCCATACCATTTTATAGTCAGGGAAAGTGAGGCGTAGCAAGGTTTTGGGGGCCTGGGGTCAGACAGCTGTAAGGGCTGGGTAGGAGGGACTTCCTGGGGCGGCAGGCCTCTGGGCCCCACACTTCCAGCCATACCCTCCACTGCCTCCTGTCAAGAAGGAGTAGACCCATGGGCTCAAGATTGTTCTGAAATTTGACCTTTTGCACTTTTACAAGGGACTCCCCCCCACAACCAAAATTCACAGTATTTGTCTTTTTATTTTCCTTTCTTTTCTCTTTGTGGGGGTAGGAAAGAGTTTGGGAAAGCAGCAGAGATTATGGAGCACGTGAAGAATCAAAGAGCACTTTTCCCAGAAAATAGCATGGAGACAAAATGGTTTTGCAGATGACTTTAGGAATTTCCTAATGCCTGCTCCAGATGTGTTCTGGTTCTGTGTTCGTTGTTAAGATTGTGATCAGTGGTTTTCAGACTTTTGTTTACTGTCACCAAAAATAACAAGGCATTTGTTAATGCAATAACAATACAAATAACATTTTGTATTATGACCTAGAACACACACACACACACACACACACACATATATATACACACTCACACACACACACTCTCCCAATGCTCTCAGGATCACACACAGAAAGCAGTGATTACTCTATGTGATTTTCTCTGATACTCTGTTTTTCTTTCATTTAAAAAGATGTGGAGGTTTTTTTTTTTTTTTTGGTTTTTTTTTTTGTGACTTACTGAATTGCTCTTGATGACAGGTTGTGTTTTCCTTTCCTAGACCCTCTTTTGGAGCAAATCCAGCGAGCTGGCCCATGACTACACGCGGGTCCAGGGAGACCTGTTCACCCTGGAGGACACGCTGCTGGGCTACATGGCAGATGGCCTCAAGTGGTGTGGAGACCCACGCTCTTCAGGTGAGGATCAGGGCCTTTTGGGATTGCCCAGGGAAGTGTTGGGTAAAGGAGCCCCCGGGCTCTGCAAGGGGTCTTAGCAGGTACCTGCCTTGATGCCATTCCAGCCTTAATGATGATCCAGGCTCATGTAAAAGACTGTTCTTTCTTTTCTTTTTCTTTCTTTCTTTCTTTCTTTCTTTCTCTTTCTTTCTTTCTTTCTTTCTTTCTTTCTTTCTTTCTTTCTTTCTTTCTTTATTCGACAGAGAGAGATCACAAGTAGGCAGAGAGGCAGGCAGAGAGTGAGGGGGAAGCAGGCCTTTTAGGGGCCCCCAGGTGCCCTGAAAAGACCGTTCTTTACATCAACTCAGTTTTCTGGAAAAACTGACTTCTGAGTTTGGGGTTGTCTGTGTTCCCTGATTCCTTCCTTTCTTTCTTTTTTTGAAAATATTTTATTTATTTATTTGACAGAGAGAGAGATCACAAGCAGGCAGAGAGGAAGGCAGAGAGAGAGGAGGAAGCAGGCTCCCTGCTGACCAGAGAGCCCAATTTGGGGCTCGATCCAGGACCCTGAGATCATGACCTGAGACAAGGGCAGAGGCTTTAACCCACTGAGCCACCCAGGTGCCCCCGATTCCCTCCTTTCTGAGAGCAAGTGTAGCTGCTTCTAGATTGGCGGTGTTTTGCTCTCTATCAGGTCAGTATTCAGGACTAAAGAGTGCTAGAGCTGGATGTAGCCTGAGAGGGAGCCAGGCCAAAGCCCTTCCTCCCCAGAGCCACCACAGCCACGGCCATAGCCATGGCAGCAGAAGGCTGGGCTCCTCTGTGTCTCAAGCCAGTGTAGGACTTTGCTGTTATTTTTCAGAGGCCGCCTTATCTTGCCCAGAAAGACCCAGAACACCGCACTGAGGGAAGATGATTTCTAATCAGAAAATCCTATTGAGCCTGTTTTCACTTCTTTTCTTTCTCTTTTTATTTATACTGAGCATATTTTTACTTTATGTTGTTTTATTATTTCTTTAAGAATAAAAATTAAAAATTAAAAAAATTTTTTAAAAAGATTTATTTATTTATTTGCAATAGAGAGAGGGAGAGCATGAGGTGAGGAGGAGCAGAGAGAGAGAGAGAGAGAGAGAACTCTCAGGCCGACTCCTTGCTAAGGGTTGGAGCCCAGCACGGGTTTTGATCCCAGGACCCCGAGATATGACCTGAGCTGAAATCAACAGTCAGACGCTTACCCAACTGAGCCATCTTGGTGCCCTGCTTTTGACTATTTTAAAAAGTAAGCACTTAAAGACTTACTATAAAACTTCTTCATTGCAGGTTTACATTGTTTCTTATTACAACAATGATGCATGCTTATTTGCAAAGTACTTGCATATTACAGAAATGTATAAAAGTAAAAAATGAGGGCTTCTGGGTGGCTCAGTGTGTTAAGCCTCTGCCCTCAGCTCGGGTCATGATCTCAGGGTCTTGGGATCAAGTCCCACATCAGGCTCTCTGCTTAGTGGGGAGACTGCTTCCCCCCGCCACCCCTCCCCCTGCCCTGCCTGCCTCTCAGCCTACTTGTGATCTCTCTGTCAAATAAACAAAATCTTTAAAAAAAAAAAAAGTAAAAATAATGAAGGTCACCCTGTACCTTCCCCACTCCTAGGTTTATATCATTTCTCAGAAGGGGATTGTTGTCAATAGTTTAGTACAAAGCCTTCCCACACATGGCCCCTCACTCACATAAACATATATATTAAAATGTACACACTGTTTTGCAACTTTGCTTTATTCATCTAGAATTAGTAGATAGAAATACAGCCATATTGGGGAGACTGGGTGTCCCAGTCGGTGGAGCACCGGACTCTTGGTTTTGGCGCAGGTCGTGATCTCAGAGTTGGGAGATGGAGGCCCTGGTCAGGCTCCGTGCTCAGTGCAGAGTCAGCTTGGGTTTCTCTCTGCCTCTCCCTCTGCCCCTCCCTTCTCTGCTCTCTCTCTCTCTCTCTCAAATACATAAATAAAAATCTTTCTAAAAAAGATTTTGTTTATGTATTTGACAGAGAGATACAGTGAGAGTAGGAACATGAGCAGGGGAACTGGCAAAGAGAGAGCAGGCCTCCCGCCAAGCAGGGAGCCTGATGTGGGGCTTGATTCCAGGACCCTCATGACCTGAGCTGAAGGCAGATGCCTCATGACAGAGCCACCCAGGCACCCCTGAATCAATAAAATCTTAAGAAAAAAAAGAGATACAGCCATATTTTTTTAAAAAGCCCTCATTTGTCTCCTTTATGGATGTTAGCATAACTTATCTAATGAATTTCTGGCTGATGGACATTTAGGTGGAGATAATTGCTATTGCCAGTGTTGCAAGGATCACTGTGTACAACACACACAGACACACGCACAGATACCATGGGCACATGCACATCTAGCTGTTTGGGGAAGTGCTTTGGAAAGATAAATTTCTACAAATGAAATTTCAGTGCTGAACAAATTGCAGTAGGAGCTGATACTGTCATTCAAAAGGTGGTAATCACTTAGACACTCATCAGAATCTGGGAGGTCACTTGTTTGCTCATTCCTCCCGCCAGTACTGGTTCATACTTAGAAAAATGTCTTGGCCAATTTGATAAGGAAATAATACCTTGACTTGTTTTGCTTTGCTCTGATTGTGAAGCTGATCTTATTTATGTCATTTAATGGTAGATATTTCTATTTCTTTTATAAACTGGCAGTTCATGTATCTCAGCTGTTTTTATTGGGATGCCTGTTATTTTCTTACTTACAGATGTTCTTTATAAATTCAGAATATTAGCTAATACTTACTGCTCAGTTATAAAAATCCCAGCCATTAGGGGCACCTGGGTAGCTGTCGATTAAGCGACCTACCCTCAATTTTGGCTCAGGTCATGATCTCAGGATTGAACCCTGGGATCAAGCCCTTTGACTGAGCTCTGCACCAGGCTCCATGCTCAACGCAGAGTCTGCTTGTCCCTCTCCGTCTGCTCTTCCCCCCATTCATGATCTCTCTCAAACATATAAAATCTTAAAAAAAAAAAAAAAAAAAAAAAGAGAGAGAGAAGTGCCTGGGTGGTTCTGTCAGTTAAGCATCTGCTTTTGGCTCAGGTCATGATCCCAAGGTTTGTGGGATGGAGCCCTGCTTCAGGTTCCCTGCTTGGTGCAAAGCCTACTTCTCCTTCTCCCTCTGCTCCCTCCTCTACCCCCACTTGTGTGCTCTCTCTCTCAAATAAATAAATAAAATCTTAAAAAAAAAAAAAAGTCACATGTTCTACCAACTGAGCCAGCCAGGAGGCCCTAAATTTTATAGTTTTTGCCATGTTTCTTGCTTTCTATTTTAAATTTCCCATTTTGCAGATCAGCTTTTCTTAGTCATTCATTTATTTCTTTTAGGTTTTAAATTTGTTTGCTGTAAAACCTTCTCCCTTTGGCTTTACTTTTCAATTCTGGATCATGTAGTTTCTGAAAACAGGGCTTCTGTCTGATTCATTTCTTTCTCCTCAGGACCTAACACTCAATTAATGTTTGTGTAGTCAAGTGGGTGAAAGAAGCAAAAGTAGGTACACATATACACATATGATAGACTGTTATTCATTCTTTTTTCAAAAAGAAAATCCTGCCATTTGCAATAATAGATAAATCTGAGGGCATTGTGCAAAGTGAAATAAGCCAGACAGAGAAAGACAAGTGGTGCATGAAATTGCTTACATGTGGAATCTTAAAAGAAGAAAAACTCCTCAAACTCCTAGAAACAGAGAGAAAAGTGGTTGCCAGGGGCTGGGAGGTAGGGGAATGAGGGAGAGGTTGGTAAAAGGGCATAAACTTTCAGTTATAAGATGAATAAGGTTTGAGGTTTTAATGTACAGCATGATGATTATATTTGCTAACATTATTATATAATTGAAATTTGCTAAGAGAGCAGAACTTAAATGTTCTCTCATACACATAAAAAGATCAATACGGGAGATGATAAATGTGTTAAATTAACTCCATATGTGGGGGAATCTTTGCACAATCTCTCTCTCTCTCATGTATATATATGTGTATGTATATATATCCTCACATTGTACACTTTAAATATCTTACAGTTTTGTCAATTATATCTCAAAAGATAATTTAAACCATTTTTGTGCACTAGATGGATATGCCTGGGAGAAGTACAGTAGAAATGATGTATTTGTGCTCTTTATCTGCTGAATCTCACTGACTCCTGAGCCTGTCTTCTTGGGGGAGAGTGAGCATAGAAGGACTCAGAGGCTCTCTGAACCCAGGGATGTGGGGACCGAGGCAGGTCAGGGAGAAAGACTGTCAGCAAGAGAGAATTGGCAGGAAGTAGAGGAGTAGTTGGCAAGAGTGGCCCCTGAGGGTCCAATTTTATCCCTGGTTTTTCCTGGAAGAGGGGATCTTGGAAGAAGGCTTGTTTCTGCCAGATGAACTTTTGCTGTAATTTCCCAGAATGATGACTCAGAGCTGGTCACTGTGTTCCTGTCTGGAATTTGGAGGATAAGGTAAGGACTTGGAAGGGACTCAGGGGCATTTAGTTAAATTGGGTCCAGATGAGTCCATTCTCCCTCCTCCATCTTGGCAGTGGTGGCCATTGGAATAGGGCCCACTGTGATCGAATAGCCCGGGAAAAACAGAGCTTCATTACACCCTTACTTTTCAACTTTAATTATTTTCTAAAACCTATGTCTTTAGAAATGAACTATCAATCTTGTCCAGACCGGAGGGAAGACTGCAGCAACAACTCTTTTTCTGTATTCTGGAATGCAGTGTCCAAAAGGGTAAGTACTAAAAAGAAATCTTAGAATTTTAGAGACCAGAGAACTTTAGAGATCATCCAGTCAGGGGTTGGTTTTAATCCTTTTTTACACCACAAATCCTTTAGGAAAAAAAGTTTAGGATTCTTTCTTGAGAATAACGTATCTAAGCACATAACAGTAGATTTTCACATACAATTTTAGGGCTTTCATGGATGGTCTGTGGGCTCTAGTTGGTGAATCCCTGCTCCTACCCAGGTTTTGGCTTTGGTTGCCAGGAACCTCCAGCTTGGTTTAATCCTCTGATCTAGGCATTGGCCTAACTTAGATCCCTGATCAGTCTGAATGATCAACGTTTGGAGACCATTTACTATGTGCCAGGTGAGGCCTCATGAGTATGTTGAGTCCCTACTAAACACTGTATAATCATACAGAGGCACTATATAACTTGTTTTTGTTTGCTTGCTTGCGGTTTCTGAGAAAGGTTCCTGCTTATTTTCTCACTCTCTGATACGTCTTGGGAACAGTGCTGTTGTGAACAACTCTTAAAGACAAGCCATATTTCATATGTGTCAAGCACGAGCTTGGAGCTAGGAGCACATTGAAAGTGATGTAAGGTGCTCTACCGTGGTGAGCTACCCTGGGGCTGCAGCTTTATTTTGGCTAAATGTTCATAGATGTACCAAGACAAGTTTGTTTTGATCAGATGAGATCCTTTCTTTTTCTGACAAGAGAGGCAGAGCTCTTTGGGGTTTGAATCCCCCTTGCACTTCCTTGCTTCCAAGTGATGTGACCTTGGGGCAAATTGACCCAGTGCTTATTTCCTGGGGGCTCTTGAGAATCATAGATGGCAGGCTCAGTACTTGGCCCCAGAAGCACTCTACTGACTTAGCCCTTGTGATGGGTAGAAATTGGGCCCCTGTCCTCTGTTTGTCACACCCAGCCAAAAGACAGAAGCTGCGCTGGACTCTTACAATTTGGTTTCAGATGGTTCAGTGGTGTTTTATCACCTGCAGAATAAAGGCCAGATGCCTTGGCCAAGCATTCACGGCCCTCTGTGAACTCACTTTTCTACCCAACTTCTGCATCTACTAAGGTTTTCACCAAAACCACCGTTTTCTCAAACCCCTAGGCCTTTCTGTTTGCACCTGCCTCAGCCCTTCCTGGGTGAGATCCTGCCTGTCCTGTAGGACCTAGCTTTCGTTGCACTCTGCCATGCCTTTTCTATTTCTTTCCTAATCACCATCACTGACTATTTAGACTTCTTCTCTTTCCTTCTCTTCCTCCTTCCCTCTTTTCCCTCCATAGATTTTCTCTGGGTGCCCACTCTGTGCTATAAACCAGCTCCAGGCTTCAGGGCTGTGGTGCATAGAATAGCCAGGCTCTCAAAGAACACTCAGTACTGGCAGCTAACCCCACAAGGATCTCATCTTTACAGTACGACATAGTAGTGAACCTGAGCTGAACCTGAGCTGGTCCCAGGGGTCTGGGGGCCTCTTGGAGGGAACATGTAGATTGCTTTGCTTTGTTCATTTTGTTTTTCCCAGTGCCTAGCAAAGATTCTAGCTGAGTATTCATTGCACGAAGAAATAAAACTCCTTGCTCAGTGATTCCTTCCTTCCTTTGTTCCTTCCTTCCCTATTTGTGCCCGTGCAAACCTGTGTCCCCTTCTCTCCTCAGTTTCCCCTTTCTTCCTGTCCCTTTTCCCTTGCCCTTGAATTGTCCACCCTGCTCCCACTAAATGAAACGTGCAGTGTCTACAGCACATGACACCAAAAAAGTGCTTTTATCTTCCTCCTCCAGCAATGTTTTTCTTAATCCCTGGACTTTCAGCTTCTGAACCATCAATTTAGCAACCTTGTGAACAGTGATGTTGACCTCCGTTGTTCAAACACAGATTGGAGCAACCACTTCCAGAATTCTTATTTGAGGCATAATCCTGCCAATGTCTTAGGATGCAAATTACATACACCTGGCAATACTGAGGAGCCCTATCCAGGCTCTTCCCTCTTTAACCTGCTAATGCTGAGTTATTTCAGAAGGAGCTGCTGGGGTGTGGCAATTAAGTTTGCATGCTGAGGAATGGTGGGCTTTTTTTTTTTTTTTTCTTTTAAGTTTGCAGAAGACGCCTGTGGTGTGGTCCATGTGGTGCTCAATGGGTCCATCAGTAACACCTTTGATGAAAGAAGGTACTGGTTTCTTTGCAACCTATTTGCAAGTGTTAGTGCAGCCTCCTGTTATGTATTTCATCCCTAGAAGAGTATGCTTTTTGTGGTTAGGTCAGAACTGAAGATTTGGGCTAAAGAGGTGGAATGTTTTCCCCGGAGAGATTTATCTAAGTCAGAGTATTTGTCTGGTGTCTCCTTTGTTTAAAAATACTTTAAATGTCCCATTGGCCCTTGCTCTGTGGCCAGCTCCTCCCCTTGGCTTTTCAGGGCCTGGTGTCATTTTCTGAGCTCTCCCAACTTCCTGCCTTTATTCATGCTGTTCCCCCTGCCCAGCCACCCTTCCCACACCCACCTGTTTAATCCTCACCATCCATGAAGATCTGGCCTGGCTCCTCTGTCCTCCATGAAGAGTGTACATCTCAGTCTAGATGTCAAACCACTACTGTGCTGGGCTCTTGGCCTTCACTATCTCATTCTAGGCATTACCCGTCATTAATTGTAGTAGTTGAAAGCAGGGGCTCCCGTCATTTCATATTACCTGTATGACCATCGGCTGGGCACCTAACCTCAGGGGACCCTGAAGTATGTACTAGGAGAGGTGGTGGTGGTGACTTGAAGGCTAACTGAGCTCTGTGCCCCACAACAGAGAAAGGGCTCAGTGGGTATCAGCTGTTGTTCCTCATTTAACCCACAGCGCTGAATCTGACCACACCAACGCCCTTCTTCTCTGACCTCCTTCTATACTTACTTTTTAGCACGTTGGATGCTTTCTCAGCCTTTGTTCTCTAGTCTTTCCCTGGAAAAGGCTGGATTGAGAAGAGAGGCAGATACTGGTGGGCTGCTCCAGGCTCTCTGGATGCCCCAAATGAATTTTCCTTCTCTCCTGTTTTAATATTTAATTCTGCAAAGAAGCATTTGACCCTAAGCTTGCAGGGTTTCGGGTGAAAGTGTTAACACTCCATAATTTTATAATCTGATACTCCGCGTCCAACCTCGTGCAACAGGAGTGGTGGCTGTCAGAGATCAACAGGGAAGAGTTGAGGGCTGGCGTCCGAGCAGGGCCCCGGGGGCTCTCAGAGCAGCGCCTCTCCAGCCTCACTGAGTGTGGGTCATCTGGAGGTGGTTCGGCTGCTGGTGGGCTGAGATTCTGCAGGTCCAACTATCTCTCAGGCAGTGCTCATTATGGCGGTGCAAGGCCCCCTCTTTGAATAGCAAATATTTAAAGAATCACCATCAAGTTACCAAGTAAGAATCTTATTTTGAGAATCGTATTCAATGAGGGTCACAATGCATGAGATTGGCTGTTTCTAGTGCAATTCACCGGTCAATCCCAAAGGGCAGGTTCTAACCAGTGGTTCCCTGCCTGCTTGCTCTTGACAAGGCCTGGGGATGGCTGAACAATTCAGTTTGGGCTTAACAGTATTCACTGCCTCTTCTATCGTAGCACTTTTGGACGTGTGGAAGTCTTTAATTTGCGCCCAGAGAAGGTTCATCAACTACAGGCCTGGGTGATGCATGACATTGGAAGTGTTCACAGGTATATGTTCCCACTTTGTGCATATGTATTCTCAGGGTAATTTTTGGAATTGGTCCCTGCAATCACAGGAACGCATCGAGAACAGAGTGACTGAGGAAATGACTGGGGCCTCCCTAGACATTCAGCCCATCCCCCAAACCTCTGAGTTTCATATCCACAATAAGTATCTATGCAGTTCACACCTTCAGTCCCCCTGCTGCCCTGCGAGCTCTTAAAAACAGCGTCTGCTCCATTTCATCCCAAGCTCTGGCCCAGAGCTTGCTACCTAGAAGAAACCAAGATCGGGAAGTGTTTGCAAGAAACTTATCACTTAACTCTTTTTTCTTTCTTTCTTTCTTTCCCAGTGACTCATGCTCGAGTTCCTCCGTAAATAATCTGAAACGGATTCTAAAGGAAAGGAGTATTGCATTTTCTTGCCAGAATAATTACGGGTAATTGACTTCTTAAAAAAGCAATGGCTGTCTTGCCGACTATAGGTATTTTCCTCTCCTTGGCCTCCTCTGAGCCAGGAGGGCTGTGGAAATCCCTCGGGCCTTGTTGGTGATCCGGGGTGGTGACCAGTGGTGTGCGTCCCTTCCCCCTGGCCCACCCTACGAGCTATTTCCAGCCAGGGTCCTTCTGTTGACCACCTTTCCCCCATCTTCCTCTTCTTTCTTCTCCACCTGTCCCTGATCATTGATTTGCCTCTGAAGTGGACCCAGCCTTTGAGAACGTATTTTCTGGTTTCCCACATGAGACGCCTGACCCAGGGCTTGCAAACCTGTTGGCTTTCAGGGGAGAGGAAGCATGTTTTGTCCAATGCAAAGGATTTGTAAAATCCTTGTGACACAGTGGTGTTTTGCATGTGAGGTTTCTTTAGTTGGATCTCGGTGTAGATCCCTAACACTTGATAAGTTGCTACATGGATGTCTACCAAACCTTATCTTTTATAAATTAGGCAATGTAAGTAAGATCTAATTTCTTTTTTTGCCAGTAGTACACGTTCATTGGGGAAAAGTTTAAATTTACAGGTGGTATATATTTTTAAAGTCATCTGCAACTCTGTTATCCAAGCTGGGACCCTCACTCACTTTTAAGTAGTTGTAGCAGGGACTCCTTGCTAGAAGCATCTTTGGAGATTTACCCGTAAATGATGGCTTAGAAGAAGGATATGGACAGAAAAAATTTTCTCAAAGAACACAGAGCCTGAAATTCAAGAATCCTTTTCCTGTCTCTTTCTGTCACCACCTTCTCCCACCAACCCTATCGGAAAGGCAGAAGGACAGAGTCCAGGAACATTCACTGAGGGCTTTTGTCTCAAAATGACCTGAATTCCCCCTCAGTCAGCTGGCTCCTCTCTGGAAACTGCCAGAGAAATAACACAAGCTTTCTACCGCAGTTAGATGGGAAAACAAGCCGAACAAAGGAGCAAGAATAACTAGAAAGGAAGCATTGCAGACTGCAGACATCTGACCAGTCTGAGTTATTCAAAGATACCTCGTGTTGGGAAAAGAGAACACTAAACACCTAGGAGAAGACTGGGGAATGTACATGGGTCTTATCCTCAAACCGCCCCCCCCCGCCCCGCTTTTTTTTTCTCATTTTCATCATTCTCCTTTCTTTCATTAATGGCAGTCAGTCAGCCTCATTCATGCTGACCACAGGTTCCAGATGAGCTCACTTCTTCTCTACCTGGGAAGACTGTGAAAGCATACCTTCCATCTGGACTTGAACAGTGGTCCATTATGAAGGAAGTGATTTGTAAGACAATAACACCTGTCATTCTGAGCCTCAGCTCATGTAACCTTAAATTTGGGGATCATACTTGAAATCACTAGGCCTTTTCCCCAACCATGAGGTTGTAATATATTCAACATGATTCTTTAAATTACCAGCTTTTCAGGGCCCCTTGTTGTATCTTTAAGAGTTCTGTGGCTTTGTAAGAAAGCTGCTTGTCCCCACAGGAGGCTAAAGTGAATGTCAGGGATATCGATGGAGAATAAAGGTGAAATCACTCCATGCCAAACACACTTTCCAATTTAGCAAACTTTTGTCCCGCCGTTTTGGTGTGATTGTTTAATAGGCAAACAGAAGTGTAAATACATTTATATAGGTTAGACTTCCTGCTGATTCTGAGGTTAACCCCTTAGAAATCCCCACCTGGAGACAAATGCTATTAACATTTGGCTGTATATCCTTCAAGTTTTCCTTTTTCCCATATACATGCTCATACTCCCGAAGAAATATATACAGAATCTCTTCACATGTGTTCTAACCAGTGGAATGAACAGAGAGTAACAGCCCTCTTTTCCATGACCTTAAAAATGTAGCATTTTTTTTCTCATTAGTGCCCCCTTGTGACATATTTATTAAAAACCTAAAGGGTGCACTTCCTCTATGTTACTTCGAAATACACTTCCTCTCTCTCTGTGTGTTATCCAACATACCCAAAGTGTGTCCATTTTATTGTAACATTGGATGTTAATATTTACATATCTGTGGAGAGAGATCATCTTAACAGCATAATTGATGTTAATAATTGCTTTCCCCTGGAAAGTGTTCATGTGGGGGATCCCAGGCTACCATATTGGTGTGGATGGAGTGAGTCCACATTTAGAACCATTGTGCGCAGCTGGTCATGATAGTTGGCTAGAAATGAGCCTGAGATAGCCCATTCCAGAAGCCCAGGGGTGCAGGTAGCTGCTTCTAAGTATTTCTCTCTTTCTTGACTCAACATAGCAAAACCAGATTCAGCTACAATTTAATGAACCACATTCCTTACTATCCATCCTTTTCTACAGACCAGCCACTCCCATTGGACCCTGTGGCTTTCTTATCTCATTTTTACTCAGTAGGGAGTCATTTACTGGCTAGATTCTTATCTAGGATTTGTTCTGTGCAAAGGACTTCTGGTCTTCCTGCTGATGGCCACCAGCCTTCCCCCAGAGAGTCTCCACCCTCTCTCAACCCTCTCTCGGGAAGCTTCTAAAGAGAAGAGAGCAAATCACCAGCAGAAAATACGGAGGTCCCTCCTCTCAGGTTGCTGCCTCTGCAGGTCTTGATCACCAGCTGACATTCTTAGCATGTATTTGTGACATGTTTGAGCCAGACATTTGTTTAATCTCCACACATTATCATCAAACATCCCTTCTCACTATTTATTTCAATGGCTTTTTTTTTTTTAAAGATTTTATTTATATATTTGAGAGAGAGCCCATGCTGGGTAAGGAGCAGAGGGAGAAGCAGACTTGAGTGGGGTGAGGGGCAGAGAGACAGAGAGGGAGAAGCAGACTCTCCACTGAGTAGGGAGCCCACTGATACTGGGACTCTGGGATCATGACCTGAGCTGAAGGCAGATGCTTAACCTACGGAGCAACCCAAGTGCCCATATTTCTGTGGCTGTACAAGTGAAATGAAACCAAACCAGCCATACTTTAAGTTGTTCATTCCTGGAGTTGACCTTCCTCTGTGTTGTCACTGCAGGAAAAGAAGCTGAGTGCCCCATGCATACTTTTGTTGCTAATGAAGGAGCTACTTGCATTGGGCAGTTGAACCATAGATGTATTGTACTGCCAACTGATCTCTCTCTTTCTCTTTTTTTCTTCCTTGTCATAGGCCTATCAGGCTTCTCCAGTGTGTGAAAAGTCCTGAGCCTTCATCTTGCAGATTTTATGTATGAGCCAATTAGCATGGTTGTTTTGGATCTCTGAGCCTTATATACCCATCGCACGTGTGACTCGGGAGACACGCTGTTGGGAAGCTGAGGACTTGGGGGGATCTTCTGTCATAATGCCAACACTTGAGTTGGAAGCCTTTCCCCCAAAGTTTTAAAATAACATGTTGTTGCCATAGTGTTTATTTTGATTTCCTATTAATCAAAAATTATGGTATAAAATTAGAATGAAAATTTTATATTAAGTTATTTCATTTTAATTTTCATAGGTGCTTTTATGTGGTTTATATGTTAGTAGTATCCTTTCTATTGAAAATGACTATACCAAACCTCTCTTACTGGTGCAGATAATTAAGGGATGGTAAATGCTCATGAATGACCTTGTCTCAGGATCTATTTTTGTACCCTTTCTACAAATAAAGTATAAATGCTATAGTTATGGGTCATGCTGGATAAAGAATTCTGTAGGATATAAGCTACCCACCCACTTTATCTCCCCCTCTTCCAACAGCCCTGTGAGGTTGGTACTGTTATCTCCCATTTGTTAGATGAGAAATGGAAGTTCGGAGAGGTTATATAATTTGCCTAAAGTCATACATTTAGTTCAAGGTAGAGGCTGGATTTCAACTCAGCTCTCTCTAACTCCAGAGTATATATGCTCTCTTTCTAGGCCTATAATACCAGCTGAAATGCTTTATGTTCCCTTCTAATAAATGCATGTTGGATTAAATTGAATGTAATAGAATATAATAGAATCCGAACTGGGTAGCTTTTCTGGATAGCTTCAAAAACAGATACACTTTTTTTCCCCTCTTCATTCTCTTCCTCTTCTTCATGCTCAGTGTCTTACATATATCATAGGCCGTTAAAATACATATTTGTTCCCGATACTAGCAATTTTTCTCCTTTTTTTCTTGATTAGTCTTGCTTGGGGATTTGTCACTTTTATTACTCTTTCAAAGAACTAACCTTTGTTTTCTCTTTCTATTTAATTGGTTTGCACTCTTCTCTTTATTTTTAGGGATATAAAAATTCCTTTTAATTTCCTTGAGTTTCCTTAATCAGCTTCTTAAGATCGAAGCTTAGATCATTGATTTTTGAGCACACTTTCTTTTTTTTAATATATCACTTAGTACTATCAATTTTCCTCTCAGTGCTGCTTTAGCTACAGATCTTAAGTTTGGTGTGTCTCTTTTTATAACCATTCAGTTAGAAATATTTTCTAATTGTTATTTAGAAATGTGTTGCCTAGAGCAACCCCCTCAGGTCCCCTCCCTCCTTGGGAGCTTCCTACTATCATTTTGCTATCACTCAATAAACCTTGCTTTGCTGTGGAAAGAAAGAAAGAAATGTGTTGCCTAATTTTCAAACATCTGGAGATTTTTTAGATTTTTTTTTCTAAATGTAGATTTGTTGAAGAATAAACTAATTTGAGGATCTTTTAGGGAACCCATTAGGTTTGTTGAAAACAGCATAAATTTGGGAGTCACCTGTTTCTGGGTTCATATTTTGGCACTGCTCTGTAATAGTGAATGAAATAGTTAATCTCTTTGAACTTTGATTTCCTTGCCACTCAAATAAGGATCATCATTTACTCCCCCGAAGGTGTGGTGGGACTAAAAGATGACAACAATGAACAGTATAGCTTTGTGCCTTGTAGGTAAGCAAGCATTCCACCAAGGCACCAAGGTTGGACCCTTTCTCCTGGCCCCTGGGTGGCAATCCAGTTTCCCTTTTTTTTGACAGAGAGAGCCAGAGGGCACAAGTAGAGGGAATGGCAGAGGAAGAAGGAGAAGCAGGCAGGCTCTGCCCTGAGCAGGGAGCCTGATGCGGGGCTTGATCCCTGGACCCTGGAATTGTGACCTGAGCTGAAGGAAGATGCTTAACCATCTAAGCCACCCGGGCATCCCAGCAATCCAGTTTCCTCCAGGAGCCATGGCAGCTGTAGCCAGTGTGGCCAGTCCACAGATTCTTCACTGGCCCCCATGTCCACCTAGGCACATCTTCACAGGCTTTTAGTTTGGGCTGGACAGGAAAATGGATGCTCAGTACTAGTTCTGATTCAAATTCGGGATTGCCCCAGGGTTCAGTGAAATCCACCTGCAGAACGTCTTCAGTGATAGGTCCTTGCTGACCCCCTGGATGACCTGGGTGTTTTCCTGTCAGGACACTTTCTGCCTTATGGTTGAGCTTGCTTGCTGATTTCTGGATTCTCTAATGTATCTTTCTTCTTGCCCAGGATACCCCTTGAAGTGTCAGAAAAATTTGGTTCTTTACATCCCCTTCCACAGATGAAACAGATAGAGTTAGCAGTCAGTTTGCAAGAGGCTTTCCCTAAGAAGACTCATTTGAGTGTTCAAGTTAAAGCTGGTGGAGACTAAAAGGAGGCTGGTCCCAAGGTTTTCACACTGTGCACAGAGCAATCCTGTGAGCTCTGGGGGTGTCAGGGGGCAGGGGCACTCTTTCCTTGGATGTCATCTCTGTATCTTCATTCCTATGATGTCCATCCCTGCCTGTCTCTCTGCAACTTTGGGTATCTGTGCATGACCATGACCATGCAGCCATCTTTAGTCCTAAGGACTTTTCTGCCCTACATACATGAATACATCCTTCATAGCCCTGTTCTTATAAGTGACATCCTCGCTGAATTACTGACTGCTCACAGCGTCATATTTTGCTCACCAACCTGCTGCTCCCTGTCTCCCCACTCCATTCATGCTTGCTCTAGAATATGCTCTTACCATCCCAACTTGTACCACCACCATCATACGTAACCCGAAGGCTGTGACCCAGGACCCAAGATCCCCCTTCTCACTTCCGAAGGCCCACTGTTTTCCTTCTACAGTGTTTCTTGACCTTTCAATATTTGAGACACTCTTTCAAATACAGTTCTGAAATTTTAGCTTGAATACTTGAAAGAAGACACACACACCTAAACACATGCATATATATAAAACTCTTGCTGGAAACAAGCTCAACCCGTGTCTGCACACTCCTTGATAACCAGCAGCAACAGTGTTTGATTTACTTCCTGGCATCTCATTTCTCCTTAAAACAATTCCCAAGACTGTCACTTGAGTTTCTCAGGTAGGATCCATACTACTCAGAAGGTTGATTTTTTTAAAGCCAAGGATAAATGTTACGCATGGCAAATGAAAATTGTATGACATTTATAGAATGTTAAAGTCAACCTAGAGTATGCTCTAACTTTGAAAGGCATTATGTGAATGCAGTGCTAACCCAGGCATTTTCCCACAGGTTTTTTTTTTTTTAAATAATAAAGCAGTTATTTTATTTATCCTAGTAAGAGTTGTCATTTTTAACATACATCTTTTGAAACAACTTATTCAGGAACTCAGTAGCTGGGTGTGCTGCCCCGAGAGGCAGCGGTTGGCTGGCTTTCAGCTCACATGCACAAAACATAGAAGACTTTGAACTGGTATCTGACAAGGCATTTATCCTTAAACTTGATTCGCATAGATGCACAGTGCCATTCATCTTCTGATCGAAGGGCAGACAGCCCAAGGTAGTGGAAATGATGGAATTAACACACAGTGACCCACTGGGCATATTCATGGCTTCTGTGAATCTCAGGTTCAAAATATACCTAAAATAGACATAAATTACACAAACAATAAAAGAATAATGAAAGACTTTGTGGAATCATTTTTTAAAAAAGTTACCTCTGCAAATACCAGATGATTGCATGTATGTATGAAATCTAAAATAAAGTCAGACTCACAATAACGGAGAACAGAGCGGTGGTTTCCCGGGGCTGGAGGTAGGAGAAAAAGGGAGACAAACTTGGTCAGGGGTCTCAACTTTTGGTTATAGAAGAAATATGTTTTGGAGACCTAATGTACAGCATGGTGACTACAGTTAATAATGCTGTATTGTGTACTTGAAATTTGCTAAGAGAGTAGATCTCCAGTGTTCATATCACACACATCCACATGACTATGTGAGGTGATATGTTAATTAGCTTAATTGTAATTGTTTCACAGTGCATATTTATATCAAAATATCAGTTGTATACCTTAAGTGCATATAATTTTTTTAAAGATAGTATTTATTCATTTAGGGGGAAGAGAGCACAAGGAGGGAGGAGGGGCAGAAGGAGAGGGAGAAGCAGCCTCCTGCTGAGCAAGGAACCTGATATGGGGCTTGATCCTAGGACCCTGAGATCATGACCTGAGCTGAAGGCAATTGCTTAACTGACTGAGCCACACAGGCACCCCTACATACAATTTTTTTTTCTTTTGCTAATCATACCTCAATAAAGCTGGACAAAACCTCACAGTCACTTCTGGGTTTGAAGAGAATCAAGTAAGTGATGCACCGCCAAAGGCATTAAGTGCTCTTATGCACCCCATCCCACGACCAGAGGAGCTGGGCAGCTGGAAACAGGATGTATCATCATCCTGAGTGTGTCTTTTTTTTTTTTAAAGGATTATATTTATTTATTTGACATACAGAGATCACAAGTAGACAGAGAGGCAGGCAGAGAGAGAGGAGGAAGCAGGCTCCCTGCTGAGCAGAGAGCCGGATGTGGGGCTCTATCCCAGGATCCTGGGATCATGACCTGAGCCGAAGGCAGAGGCTTTAACCCACTGAGGCACCCAGACACCCTTTTTTTTTTTTTTTTAAGATTTTGTTTACTGAGTGTGTCCTGTAGGAGAGGTAAGAGACCTGCCAGAGAGTCCTGTAAGAGACCTGCCAGGAGTTTAATGTGATAACATAGTGCACTGTGTGATTCTTAATGAGGTACACAGATATGAAACACCATTTAAAGGCTTGATGCACAATGCAGACCTGCAGAGAAGAGAAAATTAATGTGTTGTATCAGGCACTTCTTCAGCCAGTGATCTCAGCCACAAAAACAGAATGCAACTCTGGCTGGAAATAAATTTCTAGACAATATCAGCAGCTTATAGGTTCTTCATGAGGGCAAGAAAACTGGAAGCTGCTTAGCCAAGAACAACACCCAGAATTACTGCACAGACTGGTCAGATAGAGGAGGAGTTCTTGCCCTGAGGACACTTCACTGTTACTTTGTCAGTGCCAGTTCTGCTTTTGGGAATAGCAGTACAGTAGGCTCTCCACCCTTCTCTGTGAGGGATATGTTCCAAGACCCCCAGTGGATGCCTGATATTGTGGATAATACTGAGCCCTATGTCCATTAATGTTTTTCCTACATGTACCTATGGTACAGTTTATAAATTCAGGGCAGTAAGAGATTAACAACAATAACTATGAATAAAATAGAATAATTATAAATATACTGTAATGAAAGTTACGTGAATATGGTCTCTCTCTCAAAATACCTTATTATATTGTACTTGCACCTGTCGCGATGATGTGAGATGACAAAATGCCTGTGTAATGAGATGAAGTGAGGTCTATTATTGACCTTCTGACAATAGGTCAGGAAGAGGATCACTTGCTTCAGGACTGTGGTCAACTAGAGTGACTGAAACCATGGATAAGGGGGTTCTGCTGTAACCAGAGGGTGTGATGGATAGCATACGGTGGATGACATGGTGGGTGGCTCATGGTGGATGGCTCATGGTGGGTGGCATGTCAAGTGCAGCACCTGCCTCCTTGGCTCACTAGACTTAGGTTCATGGCTGTGCAGATCCCTCTGTGGTATGGTCTGATCCATGTAAAATGCTTAGAACAAAGCTCAGTTTCTCTACCTATAAAGTGAGGGGATAATAGTGCCTATCTCTTTGGGTTGTTTTGAGCATTGAACAAGATGATAGGTATACAACTCTCAGAATAGTGCTTAACATATAGTAAGAGCTCTCTATTAAGGTTAGGTTTTTTTTTTTAAAGATTTTATTTATTTATTTGACAGAGATCACAAGTAGGCAGAGAGAGAGGGG